CACTGAGGAATTTTTGCACTCACGGGGCTGCAAGAGCCTCCACAGTGAGCAGCGACTCCAACATCATGATGGTCACCCTCCAGCATTCTGACGGATACACAATCTGCAGTGGGGCTCAGGTACTTAGAGCATAGATCTCAGAAACCTCAACTCTCAGAGCGTTAAGTACAGTGATTCACAGCACACGTTCTGGAAGCAAACTCCCCAGGTTCAAACTCCAGCTCCACCTCTTCCTGGTTGTGTAACTTTAGCTCTTAGTAACTTACTAATCTGTAAAATGAGGAAAGTATATTGTGTGGATTCAATTTAGTACAAAGTGTTAGCATGGTACCTCGTATACTTCCTTGTTCCTGTTATGCTGCTACCAAGAAATGAAGCTCAAAGTAGCAGAAGGGAAGACAGACACTTCTTTTCAGGGTAGTCTGATGTCAGAAGACACCAGTCATCAGCTTTCCATGAAAACTATGTATATGGTGGTTTTAGAGTATCTCCACAAATTCTTTGATAATCCATTGGGAGATGAGGGGTAGGCTACTTTCTACTTGTAAGGGGGTGAGCTTTTGGGACCATTTCTTTTTGTTGCTGTTGTTCGAGTTTTGTTAGTGGAACAAACTGGAACTCAGGGCTTTGAGCATTTGCTAATGCTCTAACTCTCGAGTCACATCCCAGTCCTTTTGCTTTAAGTTCGTTTTGCACATAGGGTCTCACACTTTTGCTAGGGCTGACCTTGGAACACAATTCTCCTACCATCACCTCCTGAGTAGCTGAGATTACAGAGGTTCCACCACACTGGGCTTTTTGTGACTAAAAGAACACACCATCAGTAGAAGTGACACCACATGCTTTGCTCCCCTGTAATACTCAGACTTAGAACCTTCAGCTGCCATGTTCTACACTTTCTGCCTAGAGTCACCATGTGCTGAGGAAGCCCAAACTGGCCCATGAACAGGCCCTGAGTCCACAAGAAGAGGGAGAGATGCTGGGCCAGCAACTGCTGCTCCAGCCACAAACTAAATCAGCCATAAGGGACCCCCAAAGCAGAGCCACTCAGCTAATCTCATTAGAATCCCAGAAACTGTGCAGAGCTCAAAAAGTGATGGGTGCTGTTTTAATCCACTAAGCTTCAGGTGATTTGTAAGGTAGTAACATGGAAGAAAAACATCCAGGACATGCACATAGGACACTCCAAAGTTAGTTCCCCACTTGCTATCCAGTTTCACCCTCAACTGCACTGGGAAGAACATATTACTACTCTCATTTCAAGAGGATATAGATTCCAAGTATAAAGTGAATTGTCCAAGGTCACAGGACAAATGAAAGACTGGGAATCCTGCTTCCACAGGGAGTGATTTTTTTCCTGCCTATAACAGCTGACTCCTAGAATAGACCATAACCAGAAAAGCGAGAAAAATACACATGTCCATAAGTACAGGGCACCAGAGAGTATCAAAGAGGATCATTGGGCTTCAAGTTCCACAGCACCCAGAAAGCAGGCCTCTGCTCAAGTGGCATTGCCCAGGCAACAAAAGTCCACAGGAATGAAACAGGCAGTTGTTTGAAGGCCACATAATTAGGAGACAATGTGAGGGCACAGGGACTGGCAAGGCCTGTTGTTTCCATCAGCAGATATCTCAGCCGACAGCCTGGATGTCATTACAGGAGAGTTTTCAGACATACTTGTCAGACCCTGCAGAAGTTTTAGCGCAACCACCAATGAAGGGAGCATCCTTGGCTGTGTGGCCCTGCACTCTGACAATATGTCAGGAAGAGCTTCAGCATTTGTAATGGAAAAGTGCCAGAAAGATGGGAGGCTTCTATTTTGACTCCAATGACTGACATTTCTTGTTTCCCACTCTGGCTTTTTCACTAAAATCTTATACCAAGTGATGGAAACTGGAAGTGCACTGCTAATGGGCATGCAGTCAGCACCTCAACATGAATGCATGTGGGTGGCAGGCTGCTTAGGTGGGACAGCCTTCAAATGCACACACACAAGCTCTGAAAAGGACCAGGGGTGCATCACAGAACTTTACAAGAATAAGGTTTTAGGGGGATGGGAAGTAACGTGAACAAGAATCATAGAAACAAGAAAAATAAATGAATAAAATCTAATTCTCAGGCCCAAATCAAAAGATCAGAAAACAGGCAGTAAGTCAACAAGTTCAAGATCTAAATGCCTATATTGCTACTTTATCTTTCAGAGATCACAGGATAAAGAGAATCACATCACTTCTCCATGTTGCATCTTTTAAAAAGTGACTTCCAAATAATCTCTCCTATCTTAGAATCATCTGAATATGTATTTTTGAATATCCATATTTTGTGGCACTACAACCAGACTCTCAATCCGTAGGTCTGGGCTGGATCCAATTGATAAGGATTTTTGATATGCATTAATTCTAATACACAACCAAGTTTAGGAACAGCCCGCACCATAAAAAATGTTCCTTTGTGATCCCAGCAGAACTCCAAAGTGTTAGTGGAGAAAACAGATTGCTCAAATAAAATGTATCTTATGTATCTTTTCAGACTCCCTTGCAGCTAGGTGGTAACTAAAGGTAGATCAACTATGTTGTGCCAATTGTGTCTAAAAGGAACTGAGATGTGCATTTATTTTTTCTTTTTGCTTGGGATGGAACCCACCACCTCACACATGCTAGGGAAGGGTTTGTACTGAACAATTCCCAGCCTGAGCTGTGAAATATCTAAGGCATGTTCTTAAGGGAAGGCAATACTTCTGTCCCAGAATGTGGAAACATGGCCAAAGCTCTGATATTCATTACTGACCATAAGATATCCTTGGAATCTTACAGAAGTGAGCTGGGGAAAAAGATAAAGGAACACTGCACCTTCAAAAGACATTCCAACATTGATAGCTTCCAGTCATCTTAAAACAGAGATAAATACAATGCAAATGTTGAATGAGCCATTGTTAGTTAGGTTTTTTTTTTTTTATAACTCACAGTGAAATGCAACACTAATACAACCAACTATCTTTGAGATTCTTTCAAACTCTTGTTCATTGGCACCACTGAATTACCATGGGGCAGGAACTATCAGCAAATGAGGAAACCTAGACACAGAAGGAGACATTACTTACTCAAAGCTATGTAACTAGAAGTTAGGAATGGGTCTAGGACTTTGACCAATGAATCCCAGCACCAAAGTCAGTGGTCTTCTGCCTCCACTATCCTTGCAAAAGATTCAGGACTGAGGCCCACTTCTCAAATAGCATGTGTACTCCTCACCACCTATGCAGGGAGAAAAGTGCCAGGAGAATTCTAGCAGCAGACACAGCTCATTGTCTTCTTCTGTTATGCTTTTTCCCCTTTTTCCTTTTCTGTTGTTCACCTCCTTGATTCATTATCACTTCTTTAGGTAGGTCTGAGTCATAAGAATAAAAATACACAGAGACATTTTTGTCTCACTCTGGGTCATTCCTCCTCATTAGAATTGCTCCCATCTAAACTAGCCTACTCTAAACTAAAACCATGGAAGTGACCTGACAGCAGGAAAAGTGCAAGAAATCAAGCAAGTCTTCACCCAGGCAAGATTAGAGGCTACCAAAATTGGGCAACCAGGCTAGAGACTCTGTCAACTTCCCCGAGTCCCCATTCCCAGCAATGTAAAATAGAGATATTACATAATAAAGGTTTGGCTCTATCTGTTTGACATTAAAGGAGTGAGTCTGTCGTACAGCCAGGGTTGAATAAATGTGCAACACTTATTGCCTCCTGACATTTGCATAGCTTTATTTATCATCTCTTCCCACTTCTCCACCTCTCCACCAATCTATACTTGAATCAGGCTTGGGAAGCTATGAGAAGTCCTACTCTCCCCAGGGGTTATTCTTGTGTGTTCCAGTCTGATGTCTCTTCTCTCACTACTGAAATCTCAATACTGAGTAAGCCCTACATTCTGGGGACATATTGAATAATATCACCAGAACTGCTAGTAATCCCATTCTCATAGACAGATGCCATGGCTTACAATCAGTTACCTCTTCAGGGAGTCTCAAGTCCACTATTCTTCATTCTAGGATGTGGAATAATCAAACAGCAGACAATAGATGCATTTAACTAAAAATAATATGAATTATCCATAATTAAAAATCTGTTATGTACCAGGCATTATTCATGGCTTGATATGGCCACCATATTTAATTCTCAAAAATACCCCATGAAGCAAATATTTTCTGACATTTACTGATGTGTCAGAAATTCAGAGAGGTTAGGGAACTTGCTCAAGTACTCACAACAGAAACCACCAAAGGTGGGCATGTTCTAACTCATCTTCACCAGGAGAAAGCAGCAAATGAGTGAGTGAGTGAGTGAGTGAGTGAGTGTGTGTGTGTGTGTGTGTGTGTGTGTGTGTGTTTCCACTGCACACATAAGCACAGGTGCAGGATTCCGGGGTAGGCAGGGGCAGAGAATGGATAGGTGCTTCAAGTTTTCAAAGAATCAATAAGATAGAAAATATAGTCTAACAGGAATGAAATTATACTAAGCTATAAAACATAAAGGACTGCTTTAGATGAAGAAGTCTCTGGTTCTGAATTACAGAGAATTCTCATATAGTGAAGGGGAAACAAGAAACAAGGCCCAAGGGAACTACTAATAGGGCCACAACTTCAGGTGTACCACTCATAATATAGTCTAAGTCATAGGGCCCCCAGGATGACAACTAGCTACACAAACTGAGAGCATGTCTAAATGAACCTCAAGGAAACAGCTGGTAGATCCTATAAGTTAGTTCCCTTTAACATCTCTATGTAGCAGGCCCTCTTATCCCATTTTATTCAAATGGTAAAACTGAAGGTTGGGGAGTTAAACAATTTGCTAGGTCCCATCAGCAGAGTTAGAGACAAAGCCAGACCCTCACCAAGGCCTGAGTCAGTGGGATCTTTCCATGCATCTGGCTGGGCTTCCAGGACACATTTTCAAGAAGTGAGGGAGACAAGGGTGTCTGTGTGGCTGCCTCTCTGGGCTGGGGCTCCTTACCTCACACTTCTCCACGACCGGCTGCTGCCCACACTCAGAACTGTTGCCTGCAACAATGCCGGCTCGCAGATTTTCACTGTCCCCAGTCCCCTCCTCCATGGAGTAGGTCTTGGAGTGGTTGCCACGGTGGTAGCCTGGGCTGCGGCCCTGGGCCAGGCTGAGTTGCCTGCGGAGTGCCCGGTTCTCCTCCTCCACCTCACGCACACGCACCTCCAGGCTTTCGCGCTCCCGCTGGCTGGAAGCTGTGTACCGTGGACTATGTGCCTGGGAGTCCAGCGGAGATAAGGACACTGGCTTCCCATCTGCAGGTGGAAAGACCAGGAGAGGGTGAGTCTAAAAAGAACTATCCTTCCAAGAAGCAAAGACATCCATTGCTACCTGCTCGGGCTCCTTTCACAATCTTATCTTTAAGGGAAAGCAGATGGACTGTGAATTACAAACAAATGCATCCAGATTGAAGCGAGAACAAAGTTGAGAACAGAGTGACTTATGGTAATAAAAATCAATGTGCTGCTCAGAAGACAACCACATTCCTAATGAAACACGCTGTCTTTCCTCATGTAGCATGTTTCTAGGTAGAGATTTTCAACAACAAACCATTATGGATATATAGGTAATATATCACTTATAAACGTTGGAAGGGTAGATGCAAATATCCATGCCAAAAAGTAAAACAATTAAGGGCAAAAAGGAAGAGGAAAGAAGGAGCATGACCATCTCAAGGTGTTCCCAAAAAACTGTTTCCATTGAATTGTGTATGAAAAACCATAAGACCATGCCACAGAAACAGGGAGAGGAGGTAAGCACAGCTCTAAAAGTCACACAACCAGCATGGGGTGTCAGAATTCACACGCAGCTCTCATATTCCTGAGCCTGTGAACTTCCCACTTGAATAAATTTTCATAAGAGCCTATTAAAAAGGAAAGTCTTTGAGGCACAGTCTCATTTTGTGTCCCAGGGTGGCCTTGAATTCCTGCCTCTGTCTCCTACGTGCTGGGCTTGACTTTTTTCAAATTTTAACAATGTAAAAACCCCATTTCCCAATGATAGTTTGCATATCACCACATGTATAGTAGGTACTCAATGCATAGTTACTGTTGAGAGATACAAGACATACCCAAGTTCTGACTACTTTCTGTTCCCACTCTGCACAGAGCCTGATGCAGCCACGGTGGCTGCTGCCTCAGGGGCTACTAAGCAAAAATCACATTTTTAGAAAATTACCCTCTCTCAGTGGCATGCTAAAAAGCACTCATCTGTTTCTATACCTTGAGTTTTTCTCCTTCCTGCCCAGACCCTACTGAGCTTCCAAACTGTCCCAGAGAGTCTGTGTGACTCACAAAACTTGAGGATCAAAGACTGTGATGAATTACGCCCCGCATGGTTCACCTGCACTGCCCACTCTGCTTGGACCTCTGCCCAGGGCCTTTTGATGTCTCTTTGAGCCTTCACAAATGTGACTCTTTTTTTGTTCCCCCACTTAATCACCTCAGGGTTAAACACCTAAGTTCCTGGTTCTCTCCTCTTAATGCAACAAATATGACTCATTGAATTCCACTGCCCAGGACCACAAATCAAAGGCACAGGCCAACTCCAAAGGAGATGTAGAATCACAGGGCTGCACTGTCACCAAACTGGCCAATTACAAGGCTCTATGCAAGCTTTTGAAACCCATCTCCCTGTTTGGTAAAGCCAGACTAGTTCCACCGAGAGGACAAAAAAGAGCAGGCAGCTAAGGGTGATTGTGTTTTCTTGAAGAACATCAGGGTAGGGAAAGATGAGCTTCCACTGGAGAGCAGAGTCACACCACATGCACTTTCTGTTAGGGACCCGCAGCTTTCTGGGTGGGCCACAAAGGTAATGCTATAAGCTACTAAAGCCTCTCCATCGCAGACAAGGAATCCAAGACTCTAAACGTTTAACTGAGTGCTGTCTGTGTTCAGCCCAGAGGGAAACAAGCTTTCCGTGACTTTGCACTTGGTTATGCTTCTGTATTTATGTGCTGAGTTAAAGTAGTAAATGCTCTGAGGCCTGAGGGGGGCTGATCATGAAAGGATTTTGGAGCATAGGGAGGGAAACCCAGGAAACTCTGCAAACCCAAGGATGTAAAGACTGGGAAAATACCAAAGAGACCTAGGAGCTTGTTCTTTGGAAGGGTTCCTTCAATGCTCTAAGCTTCAGCTTCCCCTTCTGTGAAATGGGAACATGAGTTCTAACTTAGCAAAAGTGCTGAGAGGCTTACATGAGAAGCCAAAATACAAAGCAGTGGAAGGCACATGGCACAAATGAGTTCCTCCAACCTCCTCCCCCAAGGTGGGAGTGGAGATAGTGAAATGACGGGGTAAGGATAGTGGAGAATATAACTGAAGGTGTTAAATGCTTTAAATTTTCTGAACATAGAGCAGTTCTGTGAGTGGTATGTGGGAGGAAGTGACCCCAAATCTTGTCTCCCTGTGAAATAAGGCTGATACATTTCATCTGTGACTGACTCACTTTCAGCCTTAGCCAGGTCAAGGTTCATCTACAAGCAGCGTGGAGGATGAGGCAGGTCTGCCATAATGGCATGGTATTGTCCTCCAGCCCCTCTCACCACAGCCCCATATGTCCCACACTTACGTGCATTATAGGCATTGATGAGGTGCAATGCTATCGTCATCCTGTTCCATGTTTACCCTGCTTTAGACACCAAATGCTTTTAACAACAGTTCTTAAAGCTTTACAGGTGCCTTCTCACATTTAAAATTCTATTGATTTGTCACAAAAGAACACACATGAAGTAAGAAATGGCAGATTTCAGTGAGAGGACGCAATGTTGAAAAAGGCAATTCTTCTACTGTTCACAGTGCTTAGCAAAAATATGTCCCAATAAATGTAATTTCTGGTCTGTTTATTTTCAGAACATTTCTTCTTGTGTTGGTCCTTACCTCTTACTTCCTTCTGAAAGGCAGAAAAAGGGGCACCCTCTTAGTTCTAACTTCCTGTGTCCTAGCTGTGCAAGATGGTCCTGCCACCCTAACCCAGCTGCACGATGTCAATGCTGCCCGACCTGCAGTTAATGCTAGTGTGCCTTATTCCGGTTTATCCATCTAGACCCTTACTTTTGTTCCTCGACTGCTGTTTAGGGTTCCCCTGACACTCTGGATATAAGGCTCGCAGAGAGAGAGAGAGAGAGAGAGAGAGAGTGTGTGTGTGTGTGTGTGTGTGTGTGTGTGTAAGGTCTGTATCCTGTTCATGACAAGCCTATGGATCACATTCTCAATGTTGCCACAAAGTCCAATTGCTCGCAGAGTGTGTGTGTGTGTGTGTGTGTGTGTGTGTGTGTGTGTGTGTGTAAGGTCTGTATCCTGTTCATGACAAGCCTATGGATCACATTCTCAATGTTGCCACAAAGTCCAATTGCTCCCCTCATCTTAAGTTCCATGCATACATATGTTGTTGCAGACTAGTAACTATGATGGTTAACTTTATGTGATATTTCCATAAAGGCATTTCTGGATGACATAAATATTTATGTCAGTAGACTGAGAAAAGCAGAAATACTTCTCCAATGTAGGTGATCCCTATCCAATCAGTAAAAGGCCTCAATGTTCAAGAAGGCTGACAGTCCCTGAAGAAGAAAGTCCCTCTTGCTGGACAGCCTTTGAACTGGGACATTAGTTTTTTCCTTCCTACACAGCTGAGGACATGAAATGAAACATCTGTACTCCCTCTTGTTGGCATGGGATCTAAACTGTACCATAACTCTCCCCATTCTCAATCATCCAGAGTCAAGACCCCAGCTGTGCACTGAATCTCCTGGCATGCACACACACACACACACACACACACACACACACAGGCACGCACGCACGCACACACACACTATTGGCTCTACTGCTCTGGAGAGCCCTAACAAAGGGGTCACAATGGTGTGCAGGTTAACACTTTGATGCCTGCACAAAGTGAGAAAGGTCCCTTAACCCTTGCTCTCCTGTTACATTTTCCCCCAGGCTTCTATTTGTTAGATAAACAAAGTCTATTTATACACATAGTGCATCTTTCTATCACATAATGTGTGTATGTGTTGATCTGTAGTTCAGCCCACTTTCAGCTGAAAATGTCAAACAAGACATTATTCAAAACCTTAGTTCACAATATCTTTCTCCTCCCTCTAGAACTTCGCAACAAACATGAATTTATCATCGAATTTGAATCTCTGAATCCACTTGAGATGAATGTTCTGAATTAAGAATCAAAACATCTAAGAATCAGAACAAAGACAGAAAATTGAAAATCAACCTCTGCGCAATGCAATGACAGGGATTAGGGACTTGCCATCCAAAATGTCCTAAGTAATGATCTCAATCAATTTGCGTGTGTTGACTGTCTTTGAATCTCTCCAGAGTGCTGGCTTTTAGCACTCTGTTGGATCTGCTGCTTGCAAATGGACAGAATTCTGTAGTTCATTCATTGACAGGGGCCAGATAAGTATGGACCTCCCACACAAGGGGCCCTAGTCCTTCTACTGGTGATGGTAACAGTCTCCTCTAGACTAGGAAATCAAAATCTTGTACCCAGGACCAGACTTCAGGAAAGCTGTCCTCCTGCTTCATTCTACGGGTGACAAAGACACTTCATCTTTAACCTTTACATGGCAAAATCTCCCCACATACAATCTGTCGCTGAGGCCTGCCAATTCTTCCTTCCTGATGCACAAAGCACTTGCTCTTCTCTTTTTATTTCAAACATTCCATTCCCAAGCCAAGACTAAAACAGGGGTCATCAAACTTTTTTGTAAATACCCAGAGAATATGTGTTACTTTGCAGAAGGTAGGCCGCAATGTCAAGTGCTCAGCGCTTCCAATCCAGCCTAAAAGCAACTGCAGAAATACCTAAAATATGGATACAACTGTGTTCTAACAAACTTCACGTACAAAAACAAGTGGCAAGCCAGATTGGGACATCATGTGATCACGATTTTGGTTAGTCTCCCTGCTTCCGTCAGCCTCATGCACAGGTGCTCTGGATAATGCTCTTCAACCCTATTTCCAGCACAGTGGTCATTTAGGAATGTGCAAAGGCAACTTCATCTACTTCAAAGTCATCCATCAAATTCGACAAACACTCGGTCCATCCAACTGAGACATGTCCAACACGTGAATGCTGAATACGTTTCATGTCATCTTAATTTACGCAACACTCTAATAAAGTAGTATTCTAACTGTTTCTATTAACTAATGAAGAAGGATGGGGAGAGAGAAAGAAAGAGAGGGAGGGAGGGAGAGAGGAGAAAGAAAGAGACAGAGGGGGAGACAGGAGGGAA